CGCTGCTGCCACGCCCACCACCGCCTTCTTGCGGGTACAGCCTGAGGCCCCTGGACATCGAGTTTCTACAGCGGCTGTGCCGGACTGTGAATGTGGTGCCCGTGATTGCCCGGGCTGACAGCCTGACCATTGAAGAGCGAGAGGCCTTCAGGCGCAGGGTGATCCGGCTCCCTGGGGCGGGCGGGACCAGGGGAGTTGGGGCGCGGAGAATACGGAGGTGAGCGGAGGTCACTTGTGTGCGATGCCCAGATCCAGCAGAACCTGAAGACCCACTGCATCGACGTGTACCCCCAGCAGTGCTTCGACGAGGACACCAATGACCGGATCCTCAACAGCAAGATCCGGGTAGGCAGCCGTGGGGGGGCGCGAGGCTGGCAGGGCCGAGGCAGGGTGATTCCTTTCCACTCATCTGTTCCATCTGGAGATTCTTTTGTCTCCAACTTGCAACGTTCATCTATTTCACGAAGACGTGAATCTCCGTCCATCACAGACAGGGTGAGCAAGATACAGGTGAGATCAACCTACAGCATGGGTGAAATGCCTGCAAGGATAGGTCTGGAAAGGGACAGGTAGCCTGAATATGTAAAGCACTCACGGGAGTGGACAAGAAGACAGATGCAGCCACACGCCACATCATAATGTCCTGGTCTGTGCGGACACCTGCACGACAGGGCCCCTAGAGGTAGCCCCACAGCGCAGCTTTGCATAAGGACACTCTGACGTTCACGCAGGGGCACAATGCAAAACACCTAATGACACATTTCCTTAGACTGTATCCCCAACCCTGGCTGACACTCTGGTATCTATGCAGTGGCCATGAAAAGGAATCCAGTGCTAATTCCTGCCACGCTGGCGGGACCTTGAAACGTGATGCTGAATGAAAGAAGCCAGTCTCCAAAGGCCACGCCCTGTAGGGTTCCATTAGAAGTGTTCTGAAGAGCCAAAGTCGATAAGTGGTGCCCTAAGACTGGGCCAAGAGGATGGGAGAGGCCGGCGGGAGGGCAGAGGGAGAAGGCGGGAAGCGGAAACAGCCAGTGTCTTCATTTTCCCTGAAACGATGGCTCACGCCCGCCGTGCTGTGCTCACGGGCACTCAGTGTCGGTCCGTGGGGTCCTGCGAACTACCCAGTGAGGCCTGGGGCCCATTCCGCAATCCCAGGCCTCAACACCACTCCTGCTGGCCCACGGTGCTCAAGCTTGAATTGGAAAAGGGCCCGTTTCCCGCAGTGACGGGGCTGCAGCCTGCACCGCCTGCCGCCACTCACCCTCGTATTGTGCACAGAAGGCACCCCGTCCTGGGTCCCCGCTTCCCACCTGGCACCCAGTTTCTCCACACACACACACACCCCCCACACCCAGGGCAATGAACAGGACTTCCTGTGAGGATTCAGAGAGGCTTGGCCTTCACAGAGCTTTCTCAGCTAGCACAGAGCTAGGGGAAATACAGGGAAAGCACAGGCCAGGGACTCCCCGGTCACTGAATGCTACTGCCAGCAGCAAATAGTCAGAACAGAACGTCCCTCTGTGCAAATCTGTGGCCGCTGGCCAAGTCATCTCAGAGGCCAGCGAAAGTCGGTTTGCTATCAAAAATTTAAATACATAGACGTGAAAACAAAGCACGCGTTCAGGGACGCACTGAGGCAGGCACGCGTCACCTGCCACGCATAGACTCTTCAAGCCCAAAACCGCCAGGAGCAAGTGGACAGCAGGGCTCGGGGAGGGCCAGACGCCAGGATCGGTTCAGGCGCTGTGGCCAGGCGGCCTGTGGCCCTTCCTCGGCGTGGCTTCATGTGGGCCCCAGGCTGCCCGCCCCTGGGGCGCAGGGCTCTGTCACCCCACGATACCTCGAGGCCAAGGTCATCAAAGGCCGCTGCTCTTTGAGGAGGGAGACTGGCCACTAGCGAGATGGCAGTGTGAACGCTGCTGCGAGGTCCAGCAGCCTCGGGGCTGCCAGGCCTGAGGCACCAAGCACACACCTGCGCAGAAGTCCCGGCAGCGGAGGAGACACCAAGGCACCCAGGGACGCTGCTGGCCCGAGCTGTCTGCCGCTGTCTGCACTTCCTGTCCCCACAGAGGACAGCGCCCGCTCCCCGCCTCGGGGCCTGCCCTCCGCCCCCACCCTGCCCCGCCAACCCTCCGTCCCGGCCCTCCCGCAGGACCGGATCCCCTTCGCTGTGGTCGGGGCCGACCGAGAGCACCTGGTGAACGGCAGGTGTGTCCTGGGCCGGAAGACAAAGTGGGGCATCATCGAAGGTCAGTGCGGGCCTTGGGAGGCCACAGAGGAGTGTGGACGAGTGGATCTGCTCACCAGGGGCCCTGGGCCCCACCCGGCCCGCCCACCACGCAGAACCAGTCCTGGGGCCAACTCCCTGCCCACAGCTGAAAGCCCCAGACAGGTCCCCAACTCTCTGGGCCTCAGTTTCCCCACTGTAAATGGGGATATGGAAGCATGAGCCTCATAGGGTGGTTGGGGGGGCCGAGCACCCCTCTGCATGACTGTGGGCACCCTATGCACTGGCCAGGACGTGCTGCGGGCCTGCTGGGTCACCTGCGGGGACACAGTGACAGCGGACCGGCAAGGGCCCTGCCCAGCTCATAGGACGGGCCCAGCGGCCTGCTCAGTATCTGTAGGCGCCCGGGGCCTCGCCTGGGGGCACAGAATGAACGAGGGAAGGAACAGACCCAGAAAGGGAGGTGGGTGGGCCAAGCGGGCAAGCAGGCGGGGCGACGCTGGGCGCTGTCGTGCCCCGGAGGCCAGGCGGGCAGCTCAGAGCCGACCTGTCTTGCAGTGGAGAACATAGCGCACTGCGAATTTCCCCTCCTGAGGGACCTGCTCATCCGGTGAGGAGGGGCGGGGCCTGGGGGGCCGGGGGCAGCCCCGCGAGGGCTGACCGCCGCCCGGGCGCCCCAGCTCCCACCTCCAGGACCTGAAGGACATCACCCACAACGTCCACTACGAGAACTACCGCGTCTGCAGACTCAACGCCAGCCACGCGCTGCCCCGCGGGCCGGGCTGGGTGAACCTGGCTCCGGCCCCCAGCAGCGCCCCCAGCAGCGCCCCCCAGCAGCGCCCCCAGAGCCATGAGAGGCGGGCTCCCAGGCCCTCCC